CAGAAACGAGGAATGTAATTGTCAAGAGCATTTTTTACTTATTTTGTTAAGAATATGTTTGTGAATACGCACACCAGTACTAAGAAAATATCTTCATTTTATTTCCATTTTTATTACTTTATCATATAACATAAGATTTATCGACTTCATATCTATCAGTATTTAAGTGATGTTAATTTTATGTAATAGCATTCAGGTTAAAGGGTTAGTGCACTTTTGATTGGTTGTGCGAAGGATAGTTATATTATGTTAGACATAATTATGACCTTATTATTGTCCTTATTTGGAGATTAAGTGTAATTTAAGATGTGTATGGATGCCAAGTTGACAAGGAGTGAACTTATGATGGTTAATACTAGGTATCAGTTTGATTGGGTTGAGGGATGCCTAGATGGCTGGTAATAAATTGTTTCTGAGTGTGTTTGGGAGGATGTTGTCAGAGATGATTGACGTTAAGTTGGTGGACTGGGAGAGGAGACCCTCCCTCAGTGTAGGTGGGTGCCATCCATTTGACCGTCCGTGCAGCTAGAACAAAGCAAGAGGAAGGTGTGGAAAACTTTGATTGCTTAATCTTCTGGTTCTTTTTATTCTTTTCATGCTGGACACTTGCTTCAGCTCCTCCTGCCCTTGGGCATCAGACTGCAGGTTCTTCAGCCTTTAGACTCTGGGACTTGCACCGGCAGCTTCTCACAGACTCTTGGTCCCTTGGCTGCAGACTGAAGGTTGCACTGTCATCTTCCCTGGTTTTGAGGCTTTCAGACTTGGACTGAGGTAATACTGGCTTCTCTCTTCCCCAGCTTGGAGGGGACTCTGTCTATCACAGGACTTTGTCTTGTAATCTTGCGAGCCAATTCACCCTAATAAACTCCCTTTTTTATATGGTCCTTACTCCATTTATTTAGGAAGAGTCAAACTTCACAGCCTTCTAAGTAGAGAAGACGTCAGTGGTTTAAATATTTTCATTCTGAATTCTTGCCATAAGTGTATTTTATGAGACGATTATTTTTCCCCTGACTCTGCTTGGAAAGTCAGAAGCGAGCAACATGGAAGAATATCACTTTGGAAGCAAGGCGGAAGAATATCATGGGCAGATGCTTTAGCAGAGAACAAATAAGGGATATGGCAAAGTCCCAGTCCCTGCTTCATCTTCATCTATGGTCATGTGGTGGGCCAAACTTTGGAGTCTCTAGCTCCCGAAGACCTACCTGGAAGGTATAATCTGTCAACATCTGCTCACTCGACTCAAATGAAATGTACTCTTATTTAGTCCCAACTATCCCTCCAATAGGTTTAGATAACAGTTGCCAGCCTTTCACTGCATAGTGATTTTGTCTGCGTGTGTGTGTGTGTGACTGGCACATATTTCATGAGATTAGAAGCACTAGAAGGGTCAAAACTTATCTTGGGCATTTTTGTATCCTTAGCAACTACAGCATGCCTGGCTCATAGCAGAAAGTCAAAGAAATAAATCCAAACAAACAAGTGAATATATTCAAGACCTCACTGAAAATCTCGCAATTCTTCATCACCTTCAAACCTGCCATAGTGTTTGCTCCCTCTGTGATTCCATAATAATTTGTATATGATTCTCTTACAGCATTTTCATGTGACTTCATATATTATAAGTAACCTGTGTATTGGTCAGCTATCTTAGTAAGTTTATATCATGTTTGTCTGAATGTTTAAACCTTGTGGCTTTTGAATCACAACCTCGCGAACTGCTACATAGCCTATCTCATCTTAGTTAAGTTGCTAACATTTCTAAGATTATTTCCTTGTTAATAAAAATATATGTAATTTAATTTTTACACAAAGGAAAAGATTTATTTATACCAACATCTAACAGGTGGTAGCCTTATTGGCAATAACTTAAGAGAAAAAAAAAGAAAAAAATAAAAGGAAAGTATGGAGATGGGAAGAAAAAAAGGTGGAAAATTGCTTGGTTCTCCATGAATGGCTGCATTACAATATGAATTATTTATATTGTCTATGCCCAATTCTATATCTCCAAAAGCAAACAATATGATTCAGTATATTTATAAGTGTCTGAAGGAAAATAAAGCAATTGTGTATATGTGTGCATAGAGCTTCACAGGGATTTCAGAAAGTATCCTGTAGTATTTATTGGAGAACCTGATTAAGTTGATTAAGTCCCTATAATCATTTAGGGTGTGCAAAAAATTTCAAAAAAGGTTTCTTCTTCTCAATGCTCATGTAGGATTGCACCTTTCTATGCCTTCCTTTTGTATCTGGGTTTATGGCGCTTCCTCAGGTCCATGAAAGCCTGGACAGAAGGCGAGTTGCATGCAAGAAGCCTTAGAGTAACCAACTCTCAAGTTTGTCCCATTCTCACCTGCTAAGAAGATTATTTGGAAGCATTTACGAGAAGTTCTGGCCCTTCATGTTAACCCAAACTGACAGCACCACAATGTTGAGATTGGTTTTTAGTACTGGCTGTAAGCTCCCTGCTCTTTACTTGATACATACCTTATACAATGCCTGAGCCCCCAGAGTTGACTGTTGATAAATTTTATTATCATGTGGCGACTTATTATATTATGTTTATATAGTTAACATGGTCTGTTACCTATGTAGAACGTAGTAGAGGATAAATATCTTCTCTGAATTAGTTTTGAAGGCAGGAAAATGCAAGCCTTTTGATCTATCTTTAATTTATTAATTTACCTGTCAGCAGGGGCCCAGGAGTGGCAAACTTAATCCAAAGAGAATCCCTAGTGGGGAAAATTAAATGTTATGCTTTCAATGCTATATTTTAATGATTTGGCCACGCTAAAACTGATACATATAGTTTTTAAGTATTGGCGTTGAACCTTTAATTAAATCAAGTTTTTTTGATCAATGCAGAAAACTTAAAAAATCATTAGATATAGTAAAAGTGTTAATGCTGTTTAAAACTACTATTAGCGAATAGTAAAAATGTCACAAAAAATGTCAATATAAAACTAAGAAGTATTTTAGGGGCACAAGGCCCTAAATTATAGAAGGAAAGGCATTAAGAACTTAACTCTGTTGTATTTACCAGTTTTAACTGTAATGGTAGCTCAGTTTGCATTTTAAACCTTTGCAAGGGAATCATAATAATTGTAATATAAACATTAACTTTCTTCTTGTTGGCAAGAATTGTGTGCATCACAGTAAATCTTGGTGCTGAAACATTCTTTTTGGGTTAAAAAACAGATCTTGGGAGGGGTTGGTTTTTTTTGTGTGTATGCAAAACACGTCTGTGAGCAATTTTTCAGGGGAATATAATTTATATCTCTCTAAAGGAGAAAGTAAATATGTTTATCATAAATATAATATGTATTTTGTTTATTATTAAATGTTAGAATTTACATTTTATAAATAAGAACATGTTTCTTCAATAAGTATTTCAGTGGTATCTACAAAATCAAGTTCATAATTTTAAATTCTATAAGTGGAATGCTAAATATCCTATTTCTGATGCATACTAAAAACTAGTGAATTTGGAATATTATTTATTTTCTAGAGCTCACTATTTGCCACAACAATAGCTGCAGGGAAAGCTTAATTGAATTTGCATATGTTAGTAACAAATACAGTACAATCACAATAGTAGCCTTGATAGGCTTGACTTGAAATCGTGTGCTTTGACAGACTTGATTTGAGAATATGCAGGTTATACTTTTTCTATGCTGTAGAAATAACGAATGCAAATTCCTTGCTCCTAGAACTGAAAAAGAAGACATTATTCAATTGACTAGGACACAGAGTTACTGTCCTTTTATTGTTTGACATGTTAACCTAAATAGAACAGATTTGTGAAATGTGTTCCTGTAAGAAAGAAAAACTACTTTTTGCTTCACTTTGAGATTTATTTATTTGTTCAGAGCTCATTGTACTGATTGTGTGCTATCAGGAGAAGGCTTAACCCAGAAGCCAAGTTTCCAACAAGCAGTTTCTAGATATCACATGGTTTGGTTTGTGTTGGTACTAAAATAGAGCACATGGAAGTAGTATCATGTAGTATTTGCCTTTCTTTGTCTGACCTATTTCACTTACCATAATATTCTCCAGTTTCATCCAGGTTGTTGCAAATGACAGAATTTTTTTAAATATTTGAATAATATTTCATCGTATGTATTCATTCATCCATTGATGGACATTTAGGTGGCTTCCAGGTATTGGCTATTGTGAATAATCCTATTATGATCGGGGTGTACAAATATCTGTTCAAGATCCCAATTTTGATTTCACGTTTCAAAAGAGGAATTACTGGAATATATGGTAGATCTACTTTAATTTTTTTGAGGAACCTCTATGCTGTTTTCCACAGTCATTGTACCACATCCCGTCCTCTGGGAGAACTGAGCGGTATTAGTCAAAGGGTACGAAGCTTCAGTTGTGCAGGATGAATAAGCCCAAGAGCTCTGGTCTGCTGCAAAGTGCCTATGTTTAATAACACTTTGTTTATACTTGAAATTTTGCTAAAAGTGTAGATCTCATATTAAGTAATCATCACAAAATAATAATAACAATAATAAAGACGTGAGAGAGAAACGTTTGAGGTGATGAATATGTTTATGATATAGATTGTTGTGATAGTTTCACAGATGTATATTTATTGCCAGATTTATCAAGTTGTGTAGATTAAATATATACATCTTTTTATGTGGCAGTCATGTATCTCAATAAAGTGGTATAAAAAACTAAAATAAAATAAAACACAAGATCATACACAAACTAGCATATCAATAAAAATAACCTAATTCTTAATTTTGCATTAACAAGCTTATTTTAATTATCTGTATATCTATTTCACTTGATAAACAGCTTTTAGGTTCCAAAAGTTAAATATAATATTTTAAAGTAATAAATCATAAAATATAACAATTTTTCATATGGTGCTATGGATATATATCATATATTAAATCATGTGTGGTATGTGTATGTATATATGTCTTAAATTTTATAATTTATATATTATGTTGGAAATAATAGGAACAAAATTTGAACTAATTTAAATAGGATAAACATTGTTTTCTTTTGTTCTGAAGTGAAAATATAGATCAGACCCTTTTCTTCAGTTCACTGAGGTTTCCTCAAATGGCTTGACACTACTGAGTTAACAAAGTTAGACTCTCCTCAATTTTTTAATGTATTAAAATAAAAGTCTCTTCCACTAAAACATTCACTAGAATTATCAAATCTTCACCAGTGAAGTGTAGTCATTAGATAGATGGATGGGTTTTTACTCCTCCTATCATTTTTAATTGTCATGGAATTACATTTATCCTCCCTAAACCAGTACAATGTATGCTTTTCTTGGTTCAGTAGAAAGGGATGCATCCAAGGAAAGATAAATTATTCCTTTATCACCAAAACATTTATTAAATGTCTATATTTTTAGGGGGCTGTGCTGAGTGCTATAAATGGGAATTAATTAGGCTAAATTCCTGCCTCTATCTCTATTACAACAGAAGATAGACAACAACGTTGCAGGAATTTTAAGGCCATTCATTCAACATGGGGGATACGTTCAACATGGGGATGCAAACAGATAAGTTTTTACCATGAACATTTGCATCCTTGAGCACAGTATATTAGTGTACTGGGTGAAAAGGGTGATGCATGCCATGTGATTAATTGCCTCTCACCAAACATGGTAAGAAAGATCCCTGCCAAAATCCTATGACTCGACAGAGTGCTGTCCAAATGAGAGCATGATAAGAAGGGGTAGGCACAGTGGGTTTTTTTTTGATCATCCATATCCAATCTCAGAAATTACTAAAAGAAAGGGATTTCCAGCTTGCATCTGCTTTATACATTTTAAAAATCCTTTATATGCTGTGGGGAAAAATGTTAAACAAGGAATAAACTAGTTATAGGCAAACATCACAGAGAGGCACACTAGAGTAATGGAAACTTCTCATACTCATAGAAATTTAAGCACATGCTTAGAGAATTATACACATTTTGTATATTACATATACTCAATGCACTAACATATTATTTACTCTACCTATATTCCCCATCTCTACATGGGAAGATCTTATTAATCTTACCACATCTCTCTCTCAAACTCATTCCTTCTTCATTTGTTTCAGGACAATCAAATTAACATAAGTTGTGAATCATTTTGTTCTCGATAATTATAATAACCTCCTAGTCATTTTTTTGATTTTCCATTATTGTATTTCATACAATATTGCTTCTGAGGAAGAAACTCACTTCAAAGCAAAAAAAGTGCAAGAATGGGCTCATGCTCATGGATTTCACTGATTTTACTATGTACCCCACCAGTCTGAAGCAGTTGGCTTGATAGAATGATGGAATGTCCTTTTGAAGACTGAATTACAGCACCAGCTAGGTAATAATAGCTTTCAGGGCTGGAGCAAGATTCTCCAGAAGGCTCTGATTCAGCCTCATTATATGGTACTGTTTCTGTGATAGCCAGGATATATAGGTCTAGGAGTCAAGGAGTGGAAATGGGAGTGGCATCACTCACAATTACCCTTGGTGACCCACTAGCAAAATTTTGGTTCCTGTTTCTGCAGCTTTAAGTTCTGTCAGCCTAAAGGTCTTAGTTCCACAGAAACAAATGCTTCTACCAGGAGACACAACAATGATTTCATTGTATTGGAAGTTAAGACTGCCACCTCGCCATTTTGGGTTCCTCATGCCTTTGAGTCAACAGGCAAGAAGAAAGTTGTGGTGTTGGCTGGGATTATTAATCCTGACCATGAAGGGGAAATTGAACTAATCCTCCTCAATAAAGGTAAGGAAGGGTATGTCTGAAATCCAGGAGATTTCTTAGTGTGTCTCTTAGTATTATCATACCCTACAATTAAAGTCAATGGAAAACTGTGACAATCCAATTCTGGCAGAACTACAAATGGCCCAGACCTTTCAGGAATGAAGGGTTAAGTCACCCTATCAGGTGAAGAACCATCAACAGGTAAAGAACCAAAATACATATATTTTTCTCCTTGGCGGTAGAAAAAAGATACCCCTTTGAACATGATTTTCTTTGAACATTCATTAAGTATCAGTGTATTACAAACCAAAATATTCCTTAGCCTTTATTTATTTCATTTGGCATCTAACCTCATAAACTATGGTTTGACAGATGATCCAACCAAATTATTGTACATTTTAGTTAAATATTTTAGGATAATGGTTCATAAAATAATCATTGGGATCAACTACTCTGAGCTGAGCATCTAAAAAGTCTTGGTACAAAAGTTCTAAGCGATCATATCCATTCTGCACCTTAGGGGAAGTAATCACAAATTTATTTTGGTAATGTCTATGTTAATCAGTATTTTTACTTTCCTGCTATTCAGAAGACTGAATATTAATAAACATAAATATTTGTGATTGTTAGAACCAAATGCAAAATGAAGCAATGTTGTTTCTACATTTTTATGTTGAAAATAAACCAGATTTAATTTTTACCCTACATGGGATAGGAGAGAATACACAAATCAATTTCATTCTGAAATGAGACAAAGAGATTCTGGCATTTGTTAGGACTGTCTAAAAGGAGAAAAAAAAAATAAAAAAAAACTAGATATTTGCTTTAATGGGATAATACTGTGTTTTCATAGGTACCACAAAGCTATTTCCATAGCTTTCAGTGGGGGCATATTGTTTTAATCGCTTCTATAGTGACTGCTATGGTTTTGTCTTGGTTCACTCACATTAAGTTGCCGAATCCCTATTTGTGTACATAGACTTGCATTTATAAATATATGCCTGGTGTCTGTTAGTGACCTTCCACTGACCAACTCTGCACAAATATCTCTTATCTGAACATTTAGAGCAAAGTTTGGTAAACAGTGCAAAATTCAGGAGAGAAGACATAAATCAAAACTAAAATAATAAGTTCAAAGCCTTGAACTCTTGCAATATATTGTTTTTCAATCTTGGGAGTCATTGAAATGATTACAGAGACCCAAACTATTTGAAATGCATGTCTAAAATCTAACCGGGATGCAACCACATTTGAGTAAAAGGCTATTAAAATGATGAAGTCATTATATTGTATCCAAGGATAAAAGACATTGTAAATATTTAGTCTTTCACAGTCACAAACCACTTAAATGAATGAATATAGTCTATTCAATGGTTTCTGGTTCTAATTGCCGCCAGGAAATGTCAAATTCACATGCTGTCCCAGAACATAAGATTTAGCTTTTGAATTTTTAATTTAGCTAAAAGATGTGTAAAAGCACACAGTCATTCAGATCTCTATAGGCTCCAAATCTGTGTAAGATTATATACAAATAATGTTTAAGCTAGCATTGGCAATCACATTGGCTAACTAACTTTAATGTAATTAATTGTATTTTTGTTTTTTATTTTTTTTTAGGGAGAAACAAAAATAATGAAGGATGAAAATTTGGAGAGGCACTATTTTCAGTAATAGTCTTACAAATGAGGTAAGGCTCAAAGTTGCCAAAATGGAATCTGGAAATAAAGATCCATCAGCCTTATGTCTAAAGTAAATCATAATTGTTCTGAAAATGATTAACGCTGGGTGACAGCCAATGTTCCTTTGATAAAATAGTACTTAGTCTGATGCTACAATTGAGTAGACAGGAAATGGCTCACCTTTTGGTAATGAATTAACTCTTTCGCACAGGCCTATAGTAATTCCAAAACATAAGTTACAAAAATGGCTCAGATGCCAGGAAATTAAACAGAGTTTCCCAGGATAGCAGACAATTGGGTGTGTGCGTTTTCTTTTTACTTTTTTATTTTTCTTTGCTTTTTCTTCTTATCAGTATATTTGACAAACAATGTACCTATTGCTCAAGGAGCTTCCTATAATTTCTTTGGGGATTTGGCTGCATCAAAGTAGAAGTTAGTAAACAACAACATTAACAGTAGTATTCAGTGACTTTTTACTTTGCAAAATTACACAAAATATTTTTAATAACTTTGTAACAAGGTGGGATCCAGGCAGATCAAATTCTCATAATTTGTCAAAGGTAGCCATTAAAATTGTAATAATGTATTAGAATTTCTTGATTCCTGGAGTGCAAAAAACTATTAAGCTGGGTTTCTGTCATCATATAGTGTATTTAAATGCTTCTTTTAGACATGTCTTTGCATTCCACACCACACTTCCTATATGCAATATTGCCAAGCTCAGTCTCTTTCTTCCCATGGGCATAACTTAAATGCATCTAGAAAATGATCTGAACTGTAGAGTGCATATCATTTTAAACTGGAGAGAAGAATAAAGCCTTGGAGACAGCACAGTATGTGGTTGTAGTAGTCCAAGTTAAAAATGACCTAAGTATCAACGAGGGATTTGAATGCTAGACTAGTGTGGTTATTAATGGACAAATACTCTTTCCTCAACCAAGGAACTGCTTCTATTCCTTGTAGTTATGGGAATAGGAAATGGAAAGAGGCAACACTTTACTGGCAGACACATTACTGACCCTGCAGAGGCAGCAAGAAAAACGAGCAGAGAAAGCTTCAGAGAAGAGAGTCCTGCCAAGCAGAATGATTGCTTCAGGAAGTACAGGATTCCTTGGATACGATGGTGACTGGGTTGGGTAACCACCTAACAGAGTAGAATGGATCAGTCAATGGGTTGTTGAATCAAATCATCCTAGAATGTTGAAATCACTGGGAAAGAAGCAAAGGCATCCTGATTCCTGCCATTTCTGACTCATGGGTACTTGAGAGAGCCAACCTCTCACTTCACTTAGGACACATTGACAGCCATTTGCTAGCCATATATCTGGCATGGTCTTGAATTCAAATATTCATTCTGTAATCAGAAAATGTCTTGATGTTTTGCTTTCATAAGTATAGCTATCAAAATAATATATTAATAAAATGCAGTTTTTAGATCACTGTAACTCTTCAAGACAGTTCTTAAAATAAATAAAATGGTTAGGAGGTTTTTAAGTTACAGATTTTAGCAAATATATTTAAGTTAGAAAAAACAAACATTAAATATATGTTTTTAGATTTATATTTAGCTTATTTCACATATCAACTTTGCTAACTTATAACAGTAATCAAATTTTATGAAAAAACATATTTGGAACTAGGTTCAATACAATCTAATGCATAAAAGACACGAAGGAGAAATAAATAATGGAAGAACATAAATACGAATGATTAAATAAGAAAGCAAGCCATGTTATTACAGGCTAAATAATACCTAGAAATGGTCCCCACTTGAAAGCAGATACTTTGTTTTTCCTCCTCTCTCTTTCATTATGCTAGAGGGAATCTAGAGCATAGTTGACCCTGGAAACAAAGACAAAATTAAAGGAGTCAGACAGAGGGAAAACTAGTACTCACCTCTGCTATCTTGAATTTGAGAGATAAGTAGAAAGTTTCTGAAAAAAGATGACTTTTATAGAACTGTGTTTTTTGGATGCTTAAAATTCTTCCACTAATCATGCATTCTTCCACTTGTGATGTATTATTAAATTCTAGAACAGAAATTTATCAAGGCTTTCTGGGTCTTCAAGAAACAATTTATATAAATGAAACTGCCCCTGGAAAGGATCATAACATAATCAGCAGTCACTTGGCCAGTTTTCTTTATAATAATGTAAGAAAATCTATGTTTGCTGGTAAGGAAAAATAAGGTAGTCTTCTAAGGAGCTGTGAATAAAGAAAATTAGGTACCTGAATTGGGAAGAAATGAAAATAGAAAGGTATCAGAGATGGGCTTTCCCTGGATCTATGCCTTTTCTGCAGTTTGCTTCACTCTACGTACAAAGGGGTCCAGCTCTAGCTGTTCTTCCCTAATGATATTATTGGCAGTCAGCTGAATGTCTGCACAGAGAATGTCACAGTCACGGCAGGATTTTTTCTGTATTGAAAAAGCAGAAACCAAGTTCTTGGCACTCCATCAGAAGAGATGTGATTTCCTAACTAAAGCAGAATGCTCAATCAGAAGAGTTTTTGGAACTTTTCCCTCTGCCATGGAACCTGGTGAATGGTTTGTGTTTTTCCAAAATTACTTGAAATTTAGCTGCTGGGAGACTATGCTGGCCGTTCCAATTTTTCTTTCAATTTTGCATTTTATTGGATGCTTCCCTCAAGTCTTCCAGCATAGTTCAGTCATTAGTCAGAGCTGGAAGGTTTATTATTTATTTTGACAGTCACCAGCCTATTTTGTCAAACCATACACATTACTGCTCCATTTGACAGGTGTTACTCTTAAAATCCTTCAGTTTATTTTCCCCCTTTGTGTGAGGCTTCTATGTCTACTGTCTTGTTTACTTTCCCAAAGGAAGCACAATACATTTTCTGGCTGATAAAAGCTTGATTTTGTTGCTGCTTTTCGGTGACCGATTAAGCAGCCATTGGTCAAAAACTTTTTTTCTTGATTTAATCAAAATTTTAGTGAAGTGTTTACACTAGGAACCATTAGGAAATAAAATAAAACAAAGAAAGAATAGTGAATGTAGTGTAAGTAGAGGCAGAAAAACATTGCCATTTTACCTGCAATGTGCGTACTGCAGGGGATATAGAAGTTAGAATTTCTTAAGAGCTCTAAGGTAAATTGTGTATTACAAACTGCCATAGAAGAAAATAGAGGGAGCTCTGATGACATAGAAGAGAGCACTATCCAGATTAGAAAAGTCAGGTAGGTCCTCCTGGAGAAGACGACAGCTAAATTGATTTGTGAAGATAAATAGTAATGCAGACAAAAGGAGATGACAGGATGGGCAATCTGTGTGGATGCCAATATAGGAAGGATGGTGAATCTGATTTGAATATATTGCTTATAACATATCACGAAAACATTTGTGTGTGTGTGTGTGTGTGTGTGTGTGTGTATATATATATATATTTTTTTTTTCTGATGTTTGTGACTCATCTCTGTTGCCCATTTAGTTCTCTAATTTCCTTTTCTGCTCAAATGTTATGTCTTCAGGAAGCCTTCTCTGACCACCCAATGTAAATACTTCTCTACCACTTCCTTGGTAGCTCTCCATCTTTAAGCCTTGCTTCATGTTTCTCTTTTCCTTTCTTTTCTTTTCTTTTCTTTCTCTCTTTCTTCTTCTTCTTTTTTTTTTTTTTTTTTTTTGAGACAGAGTCTTGCTCTGTGGCCAGGATGGTGGGCAGTGGCGCAATCTTGGCTCACTTTAACCTCCTAGGTCTCCCAGGTTCAAGCGATTCTCCTGCCTCAGGCTTCTGAGTAGCTGGGGCTACAGGTGCACACCACCACACCCAGCTAATTTTTGTAGTTTTAGTAGAGACATGGTTTCACCATGTTGGCCAGGATGGTCTCGATCTCTTGACCTCGTGATCCACCGCCTAGGCCTCCCAAAGTGTTGGGATTACAGGCACGAGCCACCGCCCCCAACCTGCTTTATGTTTCTTATGGGAATGCTTCATTGTCTGTCAGGAAAGAAAGCAAATATTTAATAAACTAATTGTTGTTAGTCCCCTTCTGTTTCCTAGCTGTACTGTGCAACACACTACTTTAACGCTCAGTGGCTTAAAATGCAACCATTTATTAGTCATGATTCTGTTTTCCAAGAATGAGAGCAGGACTTGTCAGGGATGGCTCATCAGTGCTCTGTGATCTTGGCTGCATCTACTCATTCAGGTGGTAGTTGGGGTATAGGATCAAAGGTGACCTTACTCACATGTCAGGAACCATGGTGCTGGGCTGCTGCTGGGGTCCTTTTATTCACATGGCCACTTTCTCCAAGTGGATAGCCTAGACTTCCTTTCTAGAAGCCTTAGGATAGCAAAATAATGAAATAATCAGGTTCTATGTCTCTTAAAGTCTAGGCCCTGAACAAGCACAATCTCACTTCCACCACATGGTTAAATCAAATCCAAAGCCTATCCAGATTGAAGGAGAAGATAAATAAATTCCATTTTTTTTTTTAAACATGAGGAGTAGCATGTACCTGCAGGCAAGGGAGGGATTGTTACAGTCATTTTTGCCGACTATTCTGCATACTCTCCAGAATTCAAACTGCTCAAGGACATAATCTAGTTGTGTGGAATCAAGAATATAGTTGCTCATTTATTGACTTTTCATCATGTCCACATTGAAGCACAATTAAGTACCATATTCACATCTCCAGTCCTGATTTATTTTTTATTGCGACAGGTTCTTGCTCTGTCACTCAGGCTGGAGTGCAGTGGCACAATCCTGACTCACTGCAACTTCAACCTCCTGGGCTCAAGCCATCCTTCACCACAACCTCCCAAGAAGCTGGGAAGTTGGGAGGGACTACAGGTTTATGTCACCATGCTTGGCTAATTTCAATTTTTTTTTTTTTTGGTTGCCCAGCCTGGTCTCAAATTCCTGGGTTCAAGTGATTCTCCCACCTTGGCCACTCAAAGTACTGGAATTACAGGCATGAGCCACTGTGGTTGGCCCTCAACATATTTTTAAACTAGAATTTTAAAAAAATGGTCTCTGTTTATTGGACATTTATATTTATATGCCCTAGCCTTTCTTCAGAAACAATAATATAACAACAAATTCATCTTTCCTCCCATTTTATTTTTTTCTTCCAATTTTTTCTGCTCTGTAAATGGTATTCTTTCAGACTTTTATTATCACCAAGGATTTAAAATGTGAAGTTACCTTTCTCTCTCTCTTTCTGTCTTTTGTTTTTGCAATCAGATGGACCCAAAATCATATTTGAAAATTGGTTCTACTATGTACTGACAATGTGAAATTGAGTAAATCACTTAACCTTTCTGAACCTATTTATTCTTCATTTAAAATTGATAGAATATCTTCATCTCAGGGTTGTTCTGCAGATTAGTTAAAAGAAAACTTTGTAGACAGCCTGAAGAAGATGTTAAGCACTCACTAAATGTAAATTTCCAGCTTTTGAAAGTTTTTTTTTCTAGTGATTATGTTCTCCATGTGCTATTATTAACATTTTATAGATATTCTATGTCTCTACAAGAAAAGAGTAAACTCCTTGAAGACAGTGACTCTAGAATTCTTAGGGTAGGGTCCTACATACTTAGAATTTGGAGCATGATAAACTCTGTCAAATGAATCACACTAACATCAATTAAAAAGCATGAACATTTTGTGGGGGAGAGTAAACATAAACTCACTGCTTTGTTGAAAATTAGGCAATGTATATTGTCATTTTTATTGTTGCTAGTTTGCATTCTACATTATGCTGTGTTCTCTATAAAGCAAACTCTCTTTTAAAAGAAAAGTCCATAAGAAAATAAGAGGGCTCGTGTAAAGGGAACTACTGATTTTGACAGTCAGAGGAGAGTTTTTAAGACATAATACCAGATGTTGGAGTGATTTTGGTAATCACATCCCTTTTAGCTTTGCATGAAGATCTTTATACCTCCGTTTTAAAAGTTCAATAATATCACAGCAATACATTTTTAAGCAAATATATTTTAGAGACCAAATGCTTTTTTTTTCTTCTCTGAAATATGATTATTTCAATTACTAGTAGCAACAATTAATCACTGACTGATTCATCAGCTTGCAGCTGGGATTATAGAGCTGACTTCCCTTTTTTTTTTTATTCCTGTTCTACTCTGCTCAGCAGGGATTGAGTGATAGCAAACTAATAACCTTTCCCTACCCTTAGTACTTTTTCTTAATACTAGCAAAGAAGAAAATTTTAAATATTTTCCCAAGTTCATTTTTAGCCTACACAACTCATTTTTATTAAGCTTTACTGAGATATACTTGACAAATGTTTTATCTATGTATATAATGATGTAATGTTTTGATATACATATATGTTATTAAATGATTTCCAAATCAAGTTAATTAACATATCCATCTACTTATGATTTAGTAAATTTCAAGTATACATTACTATTAACCTTAGTCATCATGCTGTACATTAGGAATCCGGAAATCATTTATCTCATCATTACAATTGTAAACTTTTTGTAATTATGTATCCCCATTATTTATCCCCATTTCCCCCACCTCAATCACCTATTTGCAATTATATATCCCCAATATATTCCCATTTCCCCAACCTGAATCCCTGGTACCCAACCTTCTAATCAGTTTTTATGAGTTCAACTTTTTTAGATAAGTGAAATCATGCAGTATTTGTTTTTCTGTGTCTAACTTATTTCACTTAGCATAATGTCTTCTAGGTTCATCCATGTTGTTGCAAATGACAGAATTTCTTTCTCTTTTAATGCTGTGTAATATTTCATTGTATGTATATATTTTATACATATATACACACACACTAAAATGTCTTCATTCATTAATTGACAGACACTTAGGTCATTCTCATATCTTGGCTATTGTAAATAATGCTGCAAGAAACATGAGAATGCAGAGATCTCTTTGAGATAGTGATTTTATTTCCTTTGAGTATATGCACAGAAGTGGAATTACTGGGTCATATGGTATTTCTACTTTTATTTTTTTGAGAAACCTCCATACTGTTTTGCATAATGTTTTTACTAGTGTATATTCCTCTCAATAATATATGAGTTTCCTTTTCTTCACATTCTCACTATACTTATCTTTTGACTTTTCAGTAATAGCCATTGGCAGTGGAGCAAGATGGTGGAACAGAAGCCTACAACCTTTATCCCCCTGTAGGAACACAAAATTTTAACAACTATCTAAACAGAGGAAAGCAGAGTCACAAGAACTAAGAATCAGGTAGGCCATCACAGTACTTTGCTTCAGCTTGATATTGCTGAAAGAGAGGCATTAAAGGGGGGTAGGAGAGACAGTCTTAAATTGCCAACACCATGCCTCCCCCATCTCCCTGCATGGTCCTGTGGGGCAAAAAGAGTCTGTCTCCTTTAGTGAGAAAGAGAGCAGTGACTGAGGGACTTCACACTGAACTTCATACTGCCCTGTCACAGCAGAGAGAAAAGATATGCTGGGCTTAGCCAGTTTCCAGGCATGAAGGGAGCCATAGACTGGCCCTAGACACAAGTGAATTGCCCATTCTAGTGGTTGTAACTTGAGTGTATTGGCAAGCCTTGTGAATGGAGGCCAAAGTTCTCTGGTGTCCTAGCTAAATCAGAAAGACAATGTAGGAAACAAGGACTGCAATTCTTAAGCAACGCCTAGTTCTGGGTTGGGCTCAGAGCCAGAGGACTAGGGTGGCACATGATCTGGTAAAACAAGAGCTGGGGCAGCCAAAGGAATACTTGTGACACCATTTTCCCAAATCCAGGCAGCACAACTGACAGCAATGACTTTGCCTTGCATCATGCATACCAGCTCAGCCACAATAGAATAGGGCACTGGGCCAGGGTGTGAGGCTCCCATTCCAGAACTCTAGATCCCAGACAACATTTCTAGACATACCCCAAACCAAAAGGGAATCTGCTGCCTTGAAGGGTAGGACCCAGTCCTGGCAGGATTCATCACCTACTGGGGCTCCTTTAATCAGTAGGTCCTGAACAACCAGCAGGGATACCCAGGTAGTACATGATGGACCATGGGCTGTGAGACATGTTGACTTCAGGTGAGACACACCACATTCCCAACTGTTGTGGCTATAGTGAAAGACTCCTTCTGTTTGATAAAAGCAGAGGGAAAAGTAAGGGGTCTTGTCCTGCACCTTAGCCACAGTGGGATAGAGCAACAAGCAGGCTGTTGGGGTCCCTAAGTCCAGGCTTAGGCTCTCAGTCAGGTTTGTGAACCTTCCCTGGGCCAGAAGGCTAAGTCCCAGGTCTGGTAGCATTCACCACAAGCTGACTGAAGAGCCCTTGGGGCTTTAAGTGAGCATCAGCAGTGACCTGGCAGAATCCCCTGTGGGCCAGTGATGGCAGTGGCCACAGGGAAAGGCTCCTCTGCCTATGAAAAGGGGAAGGAAGAGCAGGATAGACTTTGTATTGTGGTTTGAGTGTCAGCTTCGCTACAGTAGAATAGAACATTAGGTAAATTTCTAAGGTTTTTGACTTCAAACTCTGGCTTCCAGACAGAATCTCTGGACCAACCTGGGACCTGAGGAAACTCACTGCCCAAAAGGGAAGGACAGAAATGAGGCTGGCTTCACCACTTGCCAATTGCCAAGCCCTAGAATCTTGACCGAACATAGGTGGTAGTTAGGTAGAGGTTACAGTGGGCCGTCGGTGAGATTGAGTGCTGTGTTGACTTCAGGTCTGACCCAGTGTAGTTTCAGTGGTGGTGACCACAGAGGTGCTTGCATCTCCACAGCCCAGTTTCAGGTGGCTCACCACACACACTGAGAGACTTTGTTTGGGAGAAAGTAAGTTAAGAGAACAAGAGACTCTGCCTGGTAATCCAGAGAATTCTTCTTGATCTTATCCAAAAATCACCAAGAAAGTACCTCTTCTAGTCTGCAAGAACCATAGCATTATTGGACTTGGGGCCTAAATCCTTTCAAATACTTGAAAAATCTTCCCAAGAAGGACGAGCACAAACAAGCCCAGATTGCAAAAAATACAATAAATACCTAACTCTTTAATGGCCAGACACCAACAAATATCTACAAGCAACAAGACCATCCAGGAGAATATGACCACAGCAAACGAACAAAATAAGGTACCAGGGTCAATTCTAGAGAAACAGAATTTTTCTGACCTCATGAAGGTCACAGAGATATGTGACCATTCAGACAGAGGACTCAAAATAACTGTTTTAAGGAAAATCAGAGAAGTTCAAGATAACACAAAGAAGAAATTCACAATTCTATCAGATAAATTTAACATACAAATTGAAATAATTAAAAAGAAGTAGAAATTCTAGAGTTGAAAAATCCAGTTGACACACTGAAGAATGTCAGTTGTCAGAGCCTCTCAATAGCAGAAGAAAGAATTAATGAGCATAAAGACAGGCTATTTAAGATACAGTCAGAATAGACAAAAGAAAAAAGAATGAAAAGCAATGAAAGCGGCCTACGAAATCTAGAAAATAGCATCAAAAGGGCAAATCTAAAACTTATTGGCTTTATAGAGAAGGTAGAGAAAGTGATAGAGGTAGAAGGTTTATTCAAAAGAGTAATCTTTTTTAAGAAAACCTGTTATGTCTATAGTCTGAAATTATTGAATATTGCATTCTTAAAAAACACACATTCATAACAATTGTACAATGTAACTCTCTATTTCACTCTAAAGCATAAAAGCCAGAAGATGTATTTCTCAGATTTTCAAATGACATTCCGAAATTATATATTCTTTGCATATTTTATCTCATTTGACAATAAAAGAGCAACAAAAGTAAAAAAAAGAAAGAATAATATCATCAGACAACTTCCCAAACCTAGAGAAAGATATCAACATTCAAGTACAAGAAAGTTATAGAATATGAAGCAGATTTCACCCAAAGAAGACTATCTCAAGGCATTTAAAAATCAAACTCCTGAAGGTCAAGCATAAAGAAAAGGTCTTAAAAGCAGCAACAAAAAAAGAAACAAATAACATACAATGGAGCTCCAATACATCTGGCATCAGACTTTTCAGTAGAAACTTTACAGGCCAGAAGAAAGTGGCATGACATTTAATGTACTGAGTTAAAACAAACAAACAAACAAAACTTTTTACCTTAGAATAGCATATCTGGGAAAATATCCTTTAAACATGAAGGAGAAATAAACACCTTCCCATACAAACCAAACCTGAGGAATTTCATCAACACAAGACCTGTCCTACAAGAAAAGCTACAGCGAATTCTTCAATCTGAAGGAAAATAATGTTAATGAGCAAGATAAAATCACCTGAAGATATAAAATTTACTGGCAATAGTAAGCACACAGAAAAACCAGAATATCATAACACTATAATCCTGGTGGAGAAACTAAAGGAGAAAAACTAAATGATGAATCAATCAAATTTCATAACTACAACTTTTTAAGACATAATACAATAAGTCATAAAGAGAAAAAAACAAGTTTAAAAAGTTAGAGGACAAAGTTAAGGTGTAGAGTTTGTATAGTTTTCTTTTGCATGTTTGCTTGTTTGTTTATGCAATCAGTGTTAACTTGTTAGCAGTGTAAAATAAGGGATTGTAAAATAGCATTTGCAACCCTCATGCAAAACTGAAATTGAAAAACATGCAACGGATACACAAAATATAAAATACAAGATGTTAAAGCACAACACTAGAGAAAATAACATTCGCTAAAAGGAAGACAAGAAGGAAGGAAACAAGAACACAAAACAAATAGAATATAAATAACAACATAGCCAGAGTAAGTCTCTACTCATCATCAAAATAACATTGAATGTAAGTGGACTAAACTCTCCAATCAAAAGACATAGAGTGGCTGAATGAATAAAAAAAGAAGACCTAATGATATGTTGCCCACAAGAAACACACTTCACCTATGAAAAGTCTACACACAGACTGAAAATAAAGGGATGAAAAGAGATATTCCATGCCAATAGAAACCAAAACAAAGCAGGATTAGCTACACATATATCAGACAAAATCGAATTCAAGACAAAAACTCTTAAGACAAGATGAAGAAGATCATTATATAATGATAAAGGAGTCAGTTGAGCAAGAGAGATAATGATTGTAAATATATATGCACCCAACACTGGAGCACCCATATATATTTATAAAACAAATATTACTGGAGCTAAAGAGAGAGATAGACTCCAATACAATAATAGTTGGAGGCTTCAATACCCCACTTTCAACATTGGACAGATCTCCCAGACAGAATATCAACAAAGAAACATTGAATTTAATTTGTACCACAGGAAACATTGACCTAATAGATATTTATAGAACATTCTATCCAAAGTCTGCAAAATTTATTCTTAGCACATGAATCAATCTCAAAGATAGACCAGACTATATGTTATGTCAAAAAACAAGTATTAAAACATTGAAAAAAAGTGAAATAATGTAAAGCATTTTCTCTGCCACAGGAAAATAAAACTAGAAATCAATAAAAAGAGATTTTGGAAACTACACAAAGACAAGAAAATTGAACAATATGCACCTAAATGACCAGTGGGTCAATGACAAAATTAGGAAAGAAATTGAAAAAAATTCTGAAACAAATGACAGTGGAAACAGAACATACCAAAACCTATGAGATTCAAATGAAACAAGCACTAAGAGGTAAATTTATAGCCATAAGTATCTACATCAAAAAGTAGAAAAAAATCAAATGAATAACCTAATAATGCATTATAAAGAATTAAAAAATCAAGAACAACAAAACCCAAAATTAGTAGAATAAAATAAATTATAAATATTGGAGCAGAAATAAATGAATTTGAAATGAAGATAACAATTTAAAGTATTAACAAAATAATACTGATTTTTTAAAAAGATAAATTGACAAACCTTTAGCCAGATTAATGAAGACAAAAGGAGAAGACCCAAATAAATAAAATCAGAGATGAAAAAGGAGACATTACAACTGATACTGCAGATAGCCAAAGGATCATTAGTGGCTACTATGAGCACCTATATGCAAAAAAATTGGAAAATTTGGAGGAAATTGATAAACTCCTGGACACACGGAACCTACCAACATTGAACCATGAAGAAATCCACAACCTAAACAGACCAATAATAAGTAACGATATTGAAGCCATAATAAAAAGTCTCCAGGAATGGTTTCACTGCTGCATTTTACCAAACATGTAAACAGGAACTAATACTGATTCTACTTAAACTATTCCAATAAATAGAGGAGGAGGGAACACTTCTAAACTCGTTCT